GCATATTCTGTAGGTGTTTGAGGGACTAACCCATAAGAGTTTTTAATATTCCTATATTATCACAAAAATTTCCAGTTTAAACCTTAGTCAACTTTTTAATCAATTAAATGACACTCATATTCAAACAACTACTTTATTAACAACTCAGTTTCTTTTAAAACTAGATAATGTCTTTTGTTGGGTGGAATATTTGCACATGAAATTTGAAGTGGTGATAATCATTACCTAAAATAATAATATCAAATTGAAAGCAAAATAGTTCTGAGGACTCCACTTGACTCCAAAGAACAACATTCTCCCTTCCAGGTACTACTCCCATTTCTCTTTTTTGCTTCATGAATTTAGCGCAAAATTTTTTATTCATTAACTGTCTCCACTTCCTCACCTGAATCAAGTGTTAGTGTCAATTATACACTTCTTGAAGTCTTTTTTGTTTGCCTTCTCTTGCTCTGGCTTGCTCCTGCTGTTGGAAGTTGGCTACCATGTTGTGAGCTATTCTGTGGAGAGTATCACTGAGAAAGGCTTTTGGCCAACAGTCCATGAATTATTAAAGCACTCAGTCCAACAATTACCAGGAACTGAATCCTACCAACAACATATAAGTGTGCTAACAAGTGATCTATATCATTTGAATGTTGGGATGAGACTACAGTCCTGCTTTGTGAGAGACACAGGACCCATTTAAGCCACATTTGGGTTCTGACTCACAGAAACTGTGAGATAATAAACATATAACCTTGGTTCATTTTCTTGATGTCCTCACCATACTTCTACATTTTCTACAGAGGATTCTTCTCACAATATCATAATTTTAAGATTGTCTTCCTCAGATTCATCTCATCTCAAGAGGTTGGTATTCTACTCTAGGCAGCTAATCCGTATAGTCCATTGAACTTTGTTTATTCAGATCCTGATTATGCATTCTTTGGAATGGAAGTTAGATGGAAGACAGAGTTTTTCATGACCTAATGTTGGCATTATTTTTGCCATAATCTATTCTCCAGAAGCAGATTACTGGCTTTGGCCCACAGTTGAAGAGAAATGATTACACTATAAACACCAGGAGGAGAGAATCATTGTGAACCACTTTAGATTTTACTGAGTACAAGCTTCATCATATTAGCTTCAGATTTTTTATTTTAATAACTAAAATATCACATAGTTGAGGTCATCTACCTTCCCTATCCTGATGCCATTTCTTTGCTCTCATTTTCCTTTTGTCCTAACAGATAAGCATTATAGTCAACTTGATACCTCACATTCATGTTTTTAAAATTGTACCACGTATCCATATGCATAAATAGTATATATTATTTTGATTTTTAATCTTTTTACATATATGGTATATTATAAGTAGTAGTCTAACACTCCTTGTTCACTAAAAATTAACTTTTGAGGTATATTAATTTTGTTTCTTAAATATATAGTTTATTCACTTTAACCATTTTAACTTTTCAAAACATGAAAAATTACAACTTATGTATCCATTTCCCTTCTGATAACTGAGTTGTCTCTAATTTTTTGCTATTAAACATATAATGCAATAAACATGGTTTTATATTTATTTGTTTTCCAGGTTTTATATACAAGAGTAGAATTGCTTTCCCAAATTTCTCTGCAAATTAGATTTTTACAATTTTCAGAAAAATCTTAACTCCATTTTGGAGTACTTCTGAGCAGGAATGGGAAGGCTTTCTATTCAGGTTTTGTTAGTTTTCTCATTTTTCACAAGAGTATGTCAACCCCAACTTTATTCTCTATTAAGGCAGGAGGGAATTACCTGAAAAAAGCCATATGTCAGGGTCTTGAAAGAACAAATTCAAAGTCACATCTAGCCAAGAACTATCAAATTCTAGGGTGAGGAAATAATAGCTACGGAGGATTACTTTGGAAATACTCAAAACTCCCATTCTTTCTGATACTCTAAATATGGATTAAACTAGAGCAGTGAAAGACTTAAATTATATTGAACTGGTCCCCAGCCTGGAGACTTGCTACTCAAAGAAAGCATGGTTCAACAACCAGGAGCATCAACATAACCTGGAAGGTTTTTATAAATGCAGATTATCTGGCCTTACTCCGGGTCTATTGAATTTACCAAAAACAAGAGTATCCTGTAGTTCTAACCACTCAATACATTCTATTTTGTTGCAGTCCCATAAAATAATTATTCCTAAAGAACACAAATCCCAACACATCTCTGCCTAATGACTGTGACATTGAAGTTAATATAATAAGAATTTTAAAAAGATTTTATTTATGTATTTATTTACTCACTTACTTACTTATTTACTTACTTATTTACTTACTTTTTTAAGTGCTCTCTACGTCCAATATGGGGCTCAAACTCAAGACCACAAGATCAAGAGTCACATGCTCTTCTGACTGAGCCAGCCAGGCACCCCAAAGCTTTATTTTTTTAAGAGCAGTTTTAGATCTACAACACAACTTAGAGGAAAGTAGAGATTTCTCATAAACACTTCATTCCCACACATACATATCTTCTCCTATTAGCAACATCAATTGCCAGAATGGTACTATTTCTTTTTAACTAAAGATAAACATAATGTGACACATCATGATCACTCAAAATCCATTATATTCATTAGGTTCCACTCTTGGTGCTGTACATTTTGTGGGTTTAAACAAATGTTTAATGACTTATATCCATCATTGTGATGCTCCAAGTATTTTAATGGCCCTAAAAATCCTCTGTGCTCTGCCTATTCATCTCTTCCTCAACCCCCATCATTGGTACTAATCTTTTTACTGTCTCCATCATTTTTTTTTCCAGAATGTTGAATAGTTGGAATCATACAATATGTGTCTTTTCAGATTGACTTCTTTCACTTGCTAATATACATTTAACGTTCCTCCACATCTTTTCAGAGCTTAATCATTTATTTCTTTGTAGTGCTGAATAGTATCCCACTTTCTGGATGTATCACAGTTTATTTATCCATTCACCTCCTGAAGGACATCTTGATTATGTCCAAATTTGGCAATTATGAATAATGCTGCTGTAAACATCCATGTGCAGGTTTTTATATACACATAAATTTTCAAATATTTTAGATAAATATCAAGAAGTGCAATTGTTGGATCATATTGGTAAGAGTATGTTTGGTTTTGTAAGAAACCATCAAACTGTCTTTCAAAGTGGCTATAAAATTTTATATTCCTACCAGAAATCAATAAGTGTTCTCCAGAGAACTCCAAAGTGTTCTTTGGTATTTTCAGTGTTCTGGATTTTAGCTATTCTAATAGGTATGTACTGGCATCTCATTTTAATGTTCATTTCCTGATGACAAATGATGCAGTCCCTCTTTTCATAAGATTATTTAACATCTGTGTGTCTTCCTTGGTATCTTAAGGTCTTGGGTTATTTTTAAAATTTGTTTGTTGTCTTATGTTGGATTTTAAGAGTTCTTTATATATTTTGAATAGTCCTTTATCAGATGTATCTTTTGCAAATATTTTCTCCCAGTCTGTGGCTTATCTTCTAATTCTCTTGATATTGTCTTTCACAGAACACATTATGGGAATTTTAAAATTATACTATTTCAAAAAAAATAAAACATTTTTAAGGAGCTAATATTATGCTTAAATAAAAGTTACATGTCAACTCTATAAGATGATGTTCATGTGGCAAAAACTGGCATAATCATGAGACATGAGTTTGCTTGTGTTTGGCACAGCAACCTACTATTACACTTCAAGGACATTTCCAAATAGTTTAGTTCTTGCAAAATGTTTCTTTGGATGCTTAGTCCTTCATCAGTCATAACGGAAATATAGCCCAGTGTATTGGACTTAAAATCAGTAGATATAGGAATAAAAATTACCTGCTTATTAACAGTGTGAACTTTTAAAAGATGCTTATCTACTTCTGAGTTTCCATTTACATAGAAGACAGTAAGAATATCCACTTCACATATTTGTTGAGAGAATTATTTAGATAAGCTATACAAAAGAGCCTGGAACAGCCCCTAGTAATAATCATTTGTTAGTGTTTTTCTCTGACTGTTAACTAAGCTTGTATTATTTTGTTAATGTACTCAAAAACAACAGTTAGAGAACATCTAGAAAATGTTATTCAAACCTTAATGTTAATAGCTATTCAGTAGTCCTTAATATAATTACTGTTTTAGTTTTGGAAATTTACATTATTTATTTTCCACTCAAAATAATGTTAAATGTACACTTTCTCAAGGACCCAGCAGCCAGTCCTTTGAAATGCAATTATCAAGATAAAAAGGCTCACTATCTCCCAGTCTCTATAAGGAGGATAAGAGACTAACTTTAATAAACACCAGTTAATAAACTCACATGGCTAAAGGAGAGCAGAATATGCCACCTAAAGGTATACCACTTTGGTATGCTGATAATTTTAAAATAAAGTTACTTAAGAAACAGCTGATACAAGAAGGACACTCCAACCCTCCTTCTTCCTCACCGAAGGCAGGAACTAATCTTCCTTGTAAAAAGCACCGTCTCTGCACCAGGAGAGTAGAAGGCATCCTTACACCAGAAATAGGGAATTTAGGGCCAAGAAAATTGACTGAACAAATCTTTTTACTTCTTCACTAATTATTACCTCAAGCCCAAACTCATTCATCTTGCTAATTCTTCACAAATGCATTGCTTCTTTGTCTAAAAGGTATAAATGCTGCTTGCTTTGGCCACTTCCTATATGTATGAGATTAAATTTATTTTCTTTTGTTAATCTGTATTATGCCAATTTAATTATTAGACCAGCCAAAAAATCTAGAAGCAAAGAAAGGAAAAGTTTTTCCACTGTTACATATCCTAATCACATTGACCAACCTGTCCCTCCGTGTCCTCCACTTTTCCAGATCTTAAAATCTCTGCCACTTTCTGTTTTGAGAGAGTTGTTTTAAACTCTCACCCCTGTTGACCCCAATTACAATAGTCCTGAAAAAAAAAAATGTTCATTGCATGTTTAACTTCAACAGATGCAGTTTTCCTTTAACACTTACCATCTTGTTTGAAGGCATCTGAGGGATGATAAAGATTGATGGGGGAATAATAATGTTGAGCTGTTCCTCGCCAACTTGGTGAAGAAACATTCAGTGTTCCTAATAAAGGATTACTGTATCGCAGTCTGGTCTTTGAACCAAAGAGGGATGAAGATGAACTCTTTTTAATTCTTAACAAAGCAGCATATGAAGTAGGGAAATTAGGAAGCGCTCCAGAATATTCTGTAAAAGAAAAACAATAATGAAAAATGAATTCTGATGAGTATTTTTTTTTCCTGTGAAAATTATTTTTTTTTTAAGATATTGTTAACAACTTCCCTTGGAACTGCAACCAAATGCAAACTACAGAGATAGCGGCAAAATAATATAAAATATTACTTATATGATTTAAAAATATTTTTTTTGGAAATTCTGCTAGTCTCAATGTTGGGTCTGCAAGAGAGAAAGAAAGAAAGAAAATAATCATGAAAGAAGAAAGAGAAGAAAAAGAAAGGAAAGAAACAGAAAGGAGGAAGGAAGAAGGGAATAAGGGGAAAAAGTAAGAAAGACATCCAAAAATTCAAGTTTTTATTTCCTTTGCCAGGAATATTTGGGAATTAACTTTTTTTGTTTGCCTTCTTATTAAAATATCCATTCACATAAATTTGATCAGTTCCTTATTTATTATTATAAAATGGGAAAAAGGAAAAAAAATACCCACATTCTCAGTTACATCCTTTAAATATAGATTGAATCTTCATGAGTAAAATTTATCACTTAGTAGGAAATGCATCTAACGCAGAATGTATTTTGACTAGACTGTAAGTTATTCCCATGTTCTTGAAAAACAGTCAAATTCACAGTGGAAATAAACAATTTTGGACAAAAGTTGTTTTGTAGATTTTGTTATATAATTTATTAACAATATTAATTATTAAGTGGGGACACTGTTATGAAATTCCTATATTAATTGATTATTGAGAAATGTCTTGACCAAAATTTGTTTTAATTCCCAAGGTTTTTCATTAAAAAAGATATATATATATAGAACCTGAAGGATAATATATTAACTCTTTTATGTCCCCAGGAGACAGTCAGGTTAGTGTGTAGAGCAAATGTTTAGAAATAGAAAACAATGAATTTTGGAACACTGAAAAAATTAAATTAAATTTAAAAAATGCAAACTAATTATTATGAAATCTAAAGAACAATTAGGAATTGAAATTTTTTTCAATTTTTTAATTACTATTTATTTATTTGACAGAGATCACAAGTAGGCAGGCAGGCAGAGAGAGAGAACAGGAAACAGGCTCCCTGCTGAGCTTGATCCCAGGGCCCTAGGATCATGACCTGAGCTGAAGGCAGAGGCTTTAACCCACTGAGCCACCCAGGTGCCCTCAATGTTAATTCTCAATTGAATTTTACAATTTCTTAATGTTGGAAATATTAAAAGAATTTTTGTTGTGAGTATCTGACATTTGAATTTAATGGATGTTAATTTGACAAAAAATAATTTACCTTTGCGAGTAAACTTTCTCATAATGAAAATTATTTAGAATCTTTGTTTTGTCGCAGAGTTATTTTATTTTTTTTTAAAGATTTTACTTATTTATTTGACAGACAGAGATCACAAGTAGGCAGAGAGGCAGGCAGAGAGACAGAGGTGGAGGCAGGCTCCCTGCGGAGCAGAGAGCCCGATGTAGGGCTCCATCCCAGGACCCCGGGATCTGAGCCGAAGGCAGAGGCCTAACCCACTGAGCCACCCAGGCGCCCCCAGAGTTATTTTTGAATGTAAGAAGCATTTCAGTGATTTGAAAATAACACTTTCGTAGGTGTTAAACATTGAATTAAGTATAAAATTTTCTGTTTTGTGAAACTATAAATATGATTTCTCTGAAACTTGAAAAAGTATGTTTTTAGATGTTCATTTTAGATATTTTGCACATTTAAATTAGTAAGATATGTGTAATCCAACTTTATCAGGAACTGTTAAAAGATTCATGTCCTTTAGTCCTTGTGTTCAACTACAAGCATGGTGAAAGTGGATCAATTTTAAATGAAAATAGCTAACCTCTCCTGGGCAAACTATATAAGAATAGATTATGGGTATACATTAAATCACCCTTAAAACCTGGAATTAGGGGCGCCTGGGTGGCTCAGTGGGTTAAGCCTCTGCCTTCGGCTCCGGTCATGATCTCAGGGTCCTGGGATCGAGTCCCGCATCGGGCTCCCTGCTCAGCAGAGAACCTGCTTCCTCCTCTATCTCTCTCTCTGCCTGCCTCTCTGCCTACTTGTGATCTCTCTCTGTGAAATAAATAAATAAAATCTTTAAAAAAAACCAAAAACCCGGAATTAAATGAAAGTTTTGGCACCTAGAGGTATAAGAATCGAAAAGAGAATGAGTTTTCCTTCAAGATAGTATGTAGTTTTGGTCTCTGAAATTATTCATTTCTTAGTGTAGTCTGTTTCTCTGTGTTTTAGCTGCCTACCTTGCTTATATATAAAAAGAAAAAGAAAAAAAAAGAATCATACCATGCTAGTGTTAAACATTAAAATGGAGTATGAGAATGTGGTTTATAGTCTTTAAAATTAGAGAAGGATAATCAGTAGAAAACTAGAAGGGGGCATAATAAGGCTCAAAAAAGCCAGTACTATCATCGAGTTTGTGAATCATATGTGTATATATAATAATTATATATGTTATTTGCTAATATATATTAACAAAATGTATACTATCTATGTGCTACAGTAATTGGCTTATAGCACTCTGTATAGATAGACATGAGCCAAATGATGATGTGGCTGTGTGCTCCACACCAGGGCTTCATTTGTAATGTAATCAGTTGCATCTGTTGCAGTGGAGATTCCTTTTTCATCAATTAAAGTGAATCCAAAGCTGTTACTAGAAATCTGATAATTTATTCATTCATTCATGTATTCAGCAAACATGTCATGAGAACTCAGTAGGGACTAAATGCTAGGGATACAAAGGTGAACAAGATATTGCACCAGGCATGAGGGAGCTTGTGATACAGTGACAAAGGCAACTATACAGAACTTTAATCCAATGTGACCAAAAAAAAAAGTAAAATCAAGGAATTATGGGCTCCCTCTGATGGGTGGCAAAATTTCTCATCTAGTCTAGGGCCATCAGAAAATGCTTTCCAGATGAGTTCTATCTAATCTAAATCCTGAAAGACCATTAGTGATTAGTTCAGCAAAGTTCTGGGTAGGGAAAAAAGCCTAGTAAGGGAAGAAAATATATGAATACCTGGAAAGGAAAGGATGCAGGGTGTTCTTGGTAGATTAAAATAGTCAGGAGCTCAGAGGGTGAGGGAGAGAGGTGAGAGAAGTAAGACTGGATAGGTAAGCTGGGACTAATGTTGAAATTGCCTATTATGCCTTCTAAAATAGTAGGACTCTGAAAGGAAAGCAACATAAATTTTAGAAAGATCTCTCTGGTTGCAGTGTCATTTGGAACAAGACAAAAGAAAAAAAAAGGCATATCAAGAGCCTAAAGCTGTGATAAAGGCAAAGATTAGTCAGGAATGAAGAGATGGATGGGAATGAAACAATAAAGATTACTGATTGATTAAATTGGAGGCAAGGAAGGGAAAATAAGAATTTGGGAATACTCTGTGCTACTAGAAGATGGATAAAGGTGAAGCAAAAAGCATGTACTTCAGGTGAAAGCTCATGAATTCAGTTTGGGGGAAGTGGAGAGCTTGAAGTACTCCTAAAGCATTAATTTTGATTAGAAAATTTTGTAAACATAAGGGAGTCACAGGCTAATGAGAGATTATTAAATCATAACCAAATAGATAGTTATTAAACTATGAGATAGATGAGCTTGCCAAGGAAAAAAACATAAAATGAGGAATAGCGTGTTGAAAATGGAACCCTGATTTAAGAAAATAGTAGAAGCATTTAAGAGAATAGTATATAAGAGAATAGTAGAAGCAGTGGAACCTGTAAAGAGGAAAAGCAAGAACGTGTGAAGTTACTAAAAAGAGTGGAAGAGTCAATGTTGATGAGAGAGCAGGTGACAGTGTTGAAGACCTGTATGGAAAGTCTGGCCCTGAAGAGAAGGGGTGTCCCACGGCAGCAAAGCTGCCTTACTGCTCCACATAAAATGCCTCAGTGAATGTGAAAGTGAAAGGAGGTGAAGGGGCTTCTCAAGCTCTGGAATAGAGTCTGGAACACACACAGTACCAATTCCATTGCATTAAACATGTAGACTCTGGCCTTAGACTGTGACATCTAATGGTCTCTTGGTCTGAGTGTAAGTAATTTTCAATTCAGTGAGGTTTTCCTTTTTTGGGGGCATTTCCAACTCTTCTACCTGGTGCCCTCCCAGCTATCCAGGCTCCTTTTCTGACATCTCTAATTTCTTCACTCTTTACTCCAAGTTCTGGGGACCCTCAGCTCTGAAAAATAGATACATTACTGTAAATAAATGGGAAAGTGAGATTTCCATCCCAAGACTTTGTTTAACTCCCAATTTTGGGAGACTGAATTGATTTAACACGTATGTCAGTTAAAGGTAAAAAATACTACATCACCTTCTTAAGTTTAAATTCAGATATTTGCATTTCTGTCCATCTCATCTTATTGTTCACCTCTTTCTAGGATCTCAACCTCTTCAAGATATATAAGCTACTGATCTTAATACCCTTTCACTGCCCTGCAGTCGTCTCATTACCTCAGTCACCTCCCTGTCCAGTTTAAAGTTTGTGGTTCATTACTTTAGTTACTTCCTTCAATGTACCTTCACTCATACTGACCCTTATCTTCTCTTGTTTTCACAGACTAAACTCCCTGTCTACTCTAAATCCAACCATCAACATGCTGTGCTCCCAAGTGCAGCTGGAAAAGAACAGAAAATCATGCCTAAGGTTACATTTCATCATATTAACTATGAGTGAGATTTTCAAGTTTCTAAGCAATGTTACTACATTTCCCTTAACCATTTAATATCCCTGAATGGAATAATTTACATCTTATCTTTTGTCCTCCACCTCCACACTTCCTTGGGTTTCCTGATTATGGTGTCCCTATTTAATTGAGAAAATAGAAGATGGCAGAGGAGTGGGGGACTCCATTTCAACTGGTCCCTTGAATTTAGATGGAAATCTACCAAGCCATTCTGAACACCCATGAAATCAGCCTGAGATATAAGAATATATGTCTGGCTCTTTACAGGGGCAAAGGACCTGTGGTCCTGCAGGTGCATCTTGCCTGGACTGTAGTTGATATCTTCCATTCTGTACATCCCCTCAACCACCCCTCAACAGAATGACCTGGAGGAAGAACTCCTAACAAACAAAAGAACCAGAGACAGTGACCTCTCCCACAGACCTAATGGATATCGATATAAGCAAGATGTCAGAAATAGACTTCAGGATAGCAATTATGGAGACAATAGCTAGGCTTGAGAAAACACTTAAGAAAAGACACAAAGAGATAGAAAAACATTCCACGCATGGAACAGAAAACATTCCATTCATGGATTAGAAGAATAAATATTGTTAAAGTGTCTATCTGGCCCAGAACAATCTACACTTTCAATGCTACCCTTATTAAAATACCATTGGCATTTTTCAAAGAGCTAGAACAAACAATCCTAAAAATTTGTATGGAAACAGAAAAGTCCCCAAATTGCCAAGGGAATGATGAAAAAGGAAAACAGCTGGGGGCATCATGTTGCCTCAAGCTATATTACAAAGCAGTGATCACCAAGACAGCATGATATTGGCACAAAAACAGCCACATAAATCAATGGAACAGAATACA